TTTATTCGCCGTCTAAAACTTGTTCTCTAGACATCATGCCATCACATGTTTTTAAAAAATATCTTGATGTGTGCATCTGTTTCTTGACGAGTTTTATTAATCTCTGTCTACGGCTGGGTAAATTACCAAAGTATTTTAAGCATGCTAGAATTGTACCAATATTGAAGAAAACTGGTTTTAATGCTAATGAGATTGGGAACTATAGACCAATTTCTAATCTGCCGTTTATTTCAAAAATCATGGAACGTGTTGTCTTGAGGTGTCTGCTGAAGGACCTGAATGAAAATAATTTAAAGCCAATTCATCGGTCAGGGTATCGCAAATACCACTACACTAAAACTGCTATATTACACGTTTTATCAAATTTATTTGCTGCTGCAGATAATCAAATCAGATCGGTTTTATCATTTTTAGATATATCATCAACATTTGGATTTGTTTACCATAATATGCTTCTGTCTAGATTATGCTCTACTTGTGGGGTCTCTGGTTTTGTTCAACGAATGTTCGGGCCATATCTTATTGACCCGTACACAATAGGTGGCATTTAAAAATCAGTTGTTAGATGTAGCATTGTTTCATCCCGGAGTGCCGCAAGGATCGTTCTTGGAACCCATCCATTCCCTGCTTTACACATCCGACGTAATTAAAATAATCAATCCACATGGATTTGTTTGTAAGTCACCGGTCCACCAAACTCGTCTAGAAATGAAATCGACAGATATAATAAATGCATGACATCATTGGATGTCAAATAACTCATTAAAGTTGAACCAATGCATGCCAGTTGTAACATGGCAGCAGTTGTTAAATGGCCATCAAAATAGGAGATGTCAATATATCCTTTAGTACAACATCTTCCAATCTTGAGGTTCTTTAACGGTAAATTGAAACTTGACCGTGTCACGCCAATTTTGCATGAACTGCACTGGCTGAAGGTTGAGAAAAGAATTTTTTCAAGATCGCGTTGATCGTATACAGATCGTTAAATGGGTTGTTACCAAGATATATTTCAGACAAATTTTCTAAAAAAGAGCCTGCTTTAAGTATGCATCTACGGTCGGATGATATGAATTTGCTGGTGGTTCAGGTAGGACGATTGTGGTTTGCTTCGAGAGATATTGCTGGTCCGACCATCTGGAACAGCCTACCGGTATCTATGAGAAGACCTGGATTTACGATCACCTGTTAGAAAAATCGAAAAGTTAAGTTGAAAGTTAACTAACGCCGAACATGCTGTGATTTTCATCAATAATACACATATGCGTGTGTGTGTGTGTGTGAGTTCGTGTTGTACTTTTGCGTGTTACTTTGTGTATAAATGTCGAAACGTCCTTAGTAATTTCCAACGCTGGACATAAAACACAAAGGGCATAAAACACAAGTTGGTTAAAAAGAACGGTGAACAGAATGATGAATTATATATAACATTGCAAATAAAATTTAGAGATGGATTGAGATACAGAAAGCTTGAACACGCACTCACGGACGTCCACACTCACACACACATACAGGCAAACATAATCAAACACACACGCGCACACATAATCAAACACACACGCGCACACATAGTCGTAATAATATGGAACAAAATTTTACTAGATGAACGAAGTTTGACTGTGATCTTTTTATTAATTTTTTCATCAATCGTCGTTTAAAATGAAATTTTAACTTTCAGATTCTTGTTTGTAGATCAAATGTAACTTGAAAATAATAACTTGGTCGGAATCATAACTCTAAAGGAAGAAAATTTTCTAAATTATTTTTTAAAAATTTTTATAAAATGTAATACCCTAAAAAACTCTTAGACATGAGATATGTACATAAACATTGATATCCGTTTGATGTGTGATTCCTTCCAATCTTCAAATCATTAATTAATAAGGTTTTGAAAGTTAATAATGAAGGCTTTTCAAGAATTTTAATACATTCACCGCAGCACGGTTCTGTGATTAGGATTTTTAATGCCTATATTCGTAAATTTCAGTTTTTCCAATTAATATTTTAGTTTTACTAGCTTTACCGAGGTTTTATTCATCTCATATTCTTCAATTTTGATGTGGGCTCATGATTTATGGCATTCACAAATTTAATGGAAAGAGGATAGAGAGAGAGTAAGAGTAAGTGAGAGAACTAGAGCGTGAAAAAAATGGTGATATATGAAGGGAATAGAGATTGGTGAAATAAGAACAAATATTTCTAAAGATGGAAAAGATGAATAATATTAAGTAAAATTTGCACTTTTCAAGATGAAAATTTGTATACTCTTTTGAAAAAATTTCTAATCCATAAGACCAGAGATATTGAAATTTTATTAATCGCTCATTTTATTTCCAAGTCGATGAGCTTACATTATCATCAATACGGTTTAAGTTTTACGTCTGGTATTGATTCAGTGCAATGCAAATATTTTTTTTTGCAATTTTCAAATAATTTTAATTTGTAGTTTATTTTCATTTTTATTTCATTATATTAGTTGTATATTATTTTTTCTCATGGAGCATTTAAAAGTACAGTCCGAAGCCGCAGCAACAAGTAACGACAGGAATGAAAGAAGCGGGCTCCTACAGCGCTAGTATTAACACTGATAGGGCCGGCGATGGAAGTCCTTCAATCAAGTCCTACCAAAAACCGTTTCAAATTTGCAGTAATGTTCAACACGCTAAATTTACGTTATGGCGAAGACCACATGAAACAGGTACACAAATTTTAACATAGTAACTAAATGCAAATACCAAGAGAAAATACTCAGCAACTCGCTCGAGATGTTGAAAGGCTGACACCTTTGTCATACCCGACTGGAGATCCTGAAATAAGGAACAAGAACTGATTTTTTCATGTTACTGTTCATAAAGTATGTTTAAGCTTTCATCTTAATTTAAAAAAATTATTTGTTAACTTTCATTTACTTAATTGGTAAATAAGTAATCATTTTATTTCTTTAGCTATTTGTCGAAACTATTTATTTTTACTTGTTGGCCAGAGGCATGCCTAATCCGTTTTTTTTTCTTAAAAAAAAACAAATAATAATACTTTAAAATTGAGAGGAACAGCGATAAATTTAAGAGCAATTAAACAGTCTGGTCACGTTTGTCAATTTTGTTCGTTTATGTTTCTATCATACCCTTCATAGCAGAAAAGGTTTTCTTCTATTTTTTTTAAAAGGGAATTTAAAATAGATTTTTTCAATACGAATTGAATTCTAATAGACTCAGACGATTTAAATTCATTTGTTTTCGCGTACATAAGTCATGTCTATTTTTAAATGACATGAATTTTAGCAAACAACAATTTCGTAATTGAGAAAAAAATTAAGATAGCTTATTATTAACAGCGTATTGTTCGTTGTTAACGCAATCTAATTTAATAAATAAAACGAAATAAACTAAAACGTTTGTAAAATCTTTAAATACAGTATTTCGATTATTGAGCTCCGACGGTTTGTTAGTTGCATCAAGATCAAATTATTCTATCATGTACCGGATATAAACAAACGAATGAAGGAAGCTGAGGTTGTGTTGTTTCGTTATTCACATTTCAAAATTAACTAAACCAGTGGCGGACCTAGACAATTTCAAACGCGCTGTGCGCAAAATTTTTCAAAATGAAATTTTGACGGAGGGTGAAAAAATTTAGAAAATGGTTAAACATTTACCTGTGACTGGAAGATTTTTTACAAAATTACGCTGACGATCTTTTCTGCACATCACGTCAATTATTTGAAAAAAAAACGATATCCACTTATTCGTTAAAACCGTAAAATCATTTAGATTTTCTTTTAATACAAATACTGCTCGCAACGGGGGGCACTGGCTGCCCCCCGGGCCCACTAAGTCTGACACCGGACTAAACTAATATAAACACTAATCACTGATATTACGACAAATTAAATGAATATGTTTTAATTAGGATCCATATCAACGTTATGGATTCGTACAGATTCAAATCCGGATCCAAGAGGCATGAGGGCTCATAAATTTGATTATAAGCACGTCCCATCTTAACTTAAGACACTAAAAACATCAAATGTTTGGTGGTTTATGATGAAATCTACGCCTTTTTACTATTTTTACAACTTTTCAAATCGGTGAATTATGCCAATGTCAGTACATTTTTAAGAACCGGATACCGAGTCAAATATTTTTTATCTGACTCCGATACCTAGAAAGTGCTATTAATTTTTAATTCTATAATATGCACCTTTCGCCATAGCTATCCTTCTTTTGATATCCATATCACATTTACAGCCTGAGGTAATCAGACATCCAAAATAATTGATGCTGTTGACTTGTTTATCACTAATGATTATGAAGCAGTTTTGCCAGTTGATAACCAGCTGATTTTCTTAGAACTTGCGACAACGAAAAAACCCGACTCAACCCGTCGTCAAGTTCAACCATACCGACAGAGATGGACCATGCGATTATTATGAAGCACGTGGTTTAATTTTAGCACGTGGTTATATTCAACTTTAGCACGTGGTTTAATATAAGCACGTGGTTTTATTAAATTTTAGCACGTGGCTTGTTTATAACTCGTGTTATTAATTTTAACACGTAAATTTGTCATGCTGTTGTAAAGCGCGTAAAATAGTGATGGAACAATTTGGACTAATATAGGCTCTGTAAGTCGAAAAAGTAAAATAAAAAACTTTCAACTTAAAATATTAAAATCGTTGAGGAATTTATATTATGTCTCGGAATATCAAATAGTCATCGAAACTGCAATCATTTCGGAAAATGGGTTTAATTTTTAACGCTTTAAAAATTAAGAATAAAATTTCGGCCAAAAGTGAAAAATATCTCGACATGTTTATTTAAATAATATCAACAAATTGCTTATCGATATTTACAAATCATTAAAATCGTTTAATTGAGTTTTTTAAATTAAATTTTAAATTTCTATAATATACAAAGTATTTAAAATAAAATATAAATAATATAACGTAATCAAATGTAAATGAATGAAGACTGAACTATTTACATGGCATCAAAAAATTTTCATAAATCTGTTGACATATTAACCATGCCAATCCAATTAATGGTAGACAATTTCTTCCCAGCATTAAACTTATATATCTGGCAAAGATCATCGTCATCATTAATAAGGTCGACGTTGACGTCATCATAATCATTTATGATGTCATCGTCGACCTTAATATCAGGGAGAATGAAGTCATCATTGTGGACAACATTTCCAGTTTCCTGAATTGGAAAATGGTCAACAAAATCTTCATCCACGGCAATGGAAACTCGATCGACAACATGTATGACAGAATTCTCAACATTGTTTTCGTCAGCGACGACATCATATGCGTCATCAACGACGACATCATATGCGTCATCAACGACGACATCATCTTCCTCATTATTATCTTCAACACTTCCGTTGTCCTCAATATATTCCTCCTCCTCCTCTTCGTAATTTTCATCTGTAGTATCAGATGCGTTGTCGTCATAATTGTCATTCATATCATAGATATCGATATTTTCATCATCTTCTTCCTCATCATCAACTTCTTCCTCGTCATCTTCATCATTTATATTATAAACGTAATCGTCAGTAATATTAATATCATCCGTGTTAGTGTTATTAAGATACTTCTTCAAGTTTATTTTTTGAATGTAAAGATTTTTAGGTTTTCCATAACTACGTTTTGTGAAGATATAAAGGCAGTTGTTGAAGAGGATGGATGGGGATTCCAGGACTGGCATCTTCAACTTTAACACATATGTCCACTGATCAGTTGCAAAATCATACATCTCACCGTTCTGCACGTTAAAATTTGAAATGATCGGAGTAATTATTTAGGCAGATGAAATAAATTAACAACGGGAACTTAATTTTAAAACTTGCGAAACTAAAATCTTGTCAACCACTGCAAATGCAAACATTGACAAACGTCATTATCCGCAAAAACATTACAGCAACACTAACAACAATGACAACGACAAAAGCAGGCAAGGTGCTAACCATCAACGATTTCCTTAGTCCACCGCCAACTACTAATAGGACGTCTCCAACAAAGGCCATGACGTGCCCACGTCGCCTGCTTAACATGGGACATTTCTCACTCCAAACGTCAAATGCAGGATCATACTGCCACACCCGATTCTCGTTTCGAAATTCATCTCCATATCTGTATCCGCCGCTGACATAAATCATCCCGTTATGTACACAACCTAAAAATGTAATGAGTGCAAATTTCTCAAATAAGATGATCGAATTATCTATAACAAAATGCAACAAACCTGCCAAACCAGAAACGGCAATTGGCAAAGGGGCCAACCAGCTCCACCTGTTTTTATCCGGGTTGAACCTTTCAACTTCTCCATGACAGCAAAACCCAGCAACTGCGTACAAGTATTTCCCTATATTTCCCAAGAAGAAGTTGCTCCTTGCCACTCCCATGTCAGCCAACTGAATGTAATTTGATTAGGAATATTTTCGTTTGTTTTTATCATTTAAAAATTGAAGCATTAAATTTTTTTCTTATTTTAAACCGTTGTAAAGCAATGGCTTTAGGTGGAATGAAAGTTAAACACAAAAAACTACAACCAATGATAATTCATGAATTCAATAAAACATTAAAAGGTTCTCACCCTCCCCCATTTACAAGACTTCAAATCGTAAAACAATGTTCTTTTCTTCATATAATAATATCTTTCACCTCCAACCATGTACAGACGATAGTTGACCAAATGGTACGTACACTGTTCATAATAATCGCGTGGTCCATATCTGTCGATATGGTTGAACTTGACGACGGGCGGAGTCGTGCTTTTTCTGCTGTCGCAAGTTCTAACAAAATCAAACAAGGAGACTGAATAGCATTCGCTATTAAAGCCATCCTGAAAAATGAAATTGTTTTGTGTTTTGAAATAAATTACATTTTCATCAATTGGAAAATAATGTACAGCAAAAGCCGGTTAATAGGACCATTTGAAAAACATTATATATTATAAAAACCTAATATTGAAATTACATAACGTTTCTCAATATGTTGTCTCTTAAACAATAAATAATATTATATATCATTAGGCCAATTCTCATTGGGGTTCGATTATCAGCTATTTATTATAGCTTATAAAGCATGAATAATATATAAATAATTTAAATTGAATGAACTTAAAAATATTTGAAAAAATGGAAACATTTATTTGTCAACCAAAGTAAAAAACAACTGCTAACCGTGTTGTTATTCACAAGAGCAAATAATCTACCGACACCGCGATGACAATTTGAAGTTCTTTCGGTAAGAGGAACATCTAGTTCCATTTTCTTTATCGCTTCAGCACTTTTTTGTTTTTCCTCAGTACACATTAAATCGAACCTGACATTTTTTAATAATTTTTCTGCATATGATCTTCTTGATTCTTTGGCAGAAATCCAATCAATGATTATTTTTAAAATATCGAAATCACTGTCCGCATTGACCAGCTCCGACTTAACCAAACGAAACAAAACATTGTATGGCATGATTTTGGGATGCTTTGCAATGTTTCTGAAATTCATCATTAGAGAGTCATAAATCATTTCCATATCTTCAACCGAAGCGTACTTTTTTGCAAATTTCATAAGACGTACATACGATGTCTCATTGAAATATCTCAAAAGATATTTCAGATATAATGTTTTCATGTCATTGATTTGCAAATAGGACGCACCTTCCAAACCTCTTTTTATATCCGTCAATCGCTTAATTATTCTGGAACATTTTTCATTTTCTTCTTCACTGCATCTCGGGCTCAATAAAAATTCTCTAACCTCTTGCAGGCTATCATCAGACAAAAACTCCAATGCAAGATCACTGAAGCGTGCATCTCTCATTCCACTTTTGACCAGGGCTTGGTAATAATCGCTGGTCTGTAGTAATGAGGCCCTGGATACTTCGAAACGACCACCTGTTTTGGAAATGAATACGATCGTTCGCGAATCATCGGCAGCTTCATCTTTCTCCATATTGTTCATTTTCATCTCCATTGTTCACTCTTGTATTCGATAATGAAAGAAAATTTTTAATCGACGCAACAAATTAATCTAAATTAACTTTTAAACAATTTGCACGTGTTAAGAGAGTGAGGCTATTTATACTATGAATCTTATACGATACGTATCTTTGGCGTAGACCATCCAAAGATACAATTTAACACAAGATGGTTCAATTTATTTACAGTTTTATATATTTTATATTTATATATAATTTTATGTGATCTCAAAAACACGCCTGAAACTTATTATAACTATCACTAAAATGTTAGGTCATAAATTTAATTTTGGTAATTATTTTATCTAAAACTTTAAAAATAATACAGACATTCAACATTTCAAAAATAAACTGAGACCTCGCTTATCATTGCTTGATCCTCACACCAACTTCTAATTCTGTTTGACTTAATCATGTAGTTTAATAATGATCAATAATTTTGTGCAATGTATTATATTTTTGCAAACACTGTCTACCATCATCATGTATTTGTAATATCTTACCTAATACACAATATCTTTGATTTTATTACGTTATCTTTATTTTCATAAACGCAATAATTATTTTTTATTTGTGTTATACAGCTACTGAACTGAATTTTAGATACTACTCTCTTATTTTTTCATTGGTGCTTATATTATGACAGGGCCGATTCGATCGGGTAGGCAAAATGGTGCACCGTACTTTTGGGCCAAATTTATGAGGTGCTCAAATAGTTTTTTAAAGAATAAAACAAAATGTCGAATAGACAACAATCCTAAATTTCAGCATGGTTTATGTGAGATAAATTTTGCGTGTATTAACTTACATGTGAGCGTTTAAGCAATTACTTGAATATTTTCAAATTTATCTCTACATGTAATTGATTTTTTCATGTTACTGTTCATAAAGTATGTTTAAGCTTTCATCTTAATTTAAAAAATTGTTTGTTAACTTTCATTTACTTAATTGGTAAATATGTAATTATTTTATTTCTCTAGTTTTTTGTCGAAACTATTTATTTTTACTTGTTGGCCAGAGGCATGCCTAATCCGTTTTTTTTCTTAAAAAAAACAAATAATACTTTAAAATTGAGAGGGACAGCGATAAATTTAAGAGCAATTAAACAGTCTGGTCACGTTTGTCAATTTTGTTCGTTTATGTTTCTATCATACCCTTCATAACAGAAAAGGTTTTCTTCTAATTTTTTAAAAGGGAATTTAAAATAGATTTTTTCAATACGAATTGAATTCTAATAGACTCAGACGATTTAAATTCATTTGTTTTCGCGTACATAAGTCATGTCTATTTTTAAATGACATGAATTTTAGCAAACAACAAACAATTTCGTAATTGAGAAAAAATTAAGATAGCCTATTATTAAAAGCGTATTGTTCGTTGTTAACGCAATCTAATTCAATGAATAAAGCGAAATAAATTAAAATTTTTGTAAAATCTTTAAATACAGTAATTCGATTATTGCGCTCCGACGGTTTGTTATAGTTGCATAAAGATCAAATTATTCTATCATGTACTGGAAATAAACGAACGAATGAAGGAAGGAAGGAAGCTGAGGTTGTGTTGTTTCGATACTTCACATTTCAATTAACTAAACCAGTGGCGGACCTAGACAATTTCAAACGCGCTGTGCGCAAAATTTTTTAAAATGAAATTTTGACGGGGGATGGAGAAATTTAGAAAATGGTTAAACGTTTACCGGTGACTGGAAGATTTTTACATAATTACGCTGACAAACTTTTTTTTCACATCACGTCAATTTTTTGAAAAAACTATATCCACTTATCCGTTAAAACCCGTAAAATCATCGTAAAATCATTTAGTTTCTCTTTTAATACAAATACTGCTCGCAATGGGGAGCACTTCTTACTAAATCTAAATCCGCCACCGGACTAAACTTATCTGAACACTAAACACTGATATTACGGCAAATTAAATAAATATGTTTTAATCAAGTTCCCTATCAAAGTTACGGATTCGTACAGATTCAAATCCGGATCCATGAGGGCTCATAAATTTGATTATAAGCACGTCCCATCTTAACTTAAGACACTAAAAACATCAAATGTTTGGTGGTTTATGATGAAATCTACGCCTTTTTACTATTTTTACAACTTTTCAAATCGGTGAATTATGCCAATGTCAGTACATTTTTAAGAACCGGATACCGAGTCAAATATTTTTTATCTGACTCCGATACCTAGAAAGTGCTATTAATTTTTAATTCTATAATATGCACCTTTCGCCATAGCTATCCTTCTTTTGATATCCATATCACATTTACAGCCTGAGGTAATCAGACATCCAAAATAATTGATGCTGTTGACTTGTTTATCACTAATGATTATGAAGCAGTTTTGCCAGTTGATAACCAGCTGATTTTCTTAGAACTTGCGACAACGAAAAAACCCGACTCAACCCGTCGTCAAGTTCAACCATACCGACAGAGATGGACCATGCGATTATTATGAAGCACATGGTTTAATTTTAGCACGTGGTTATATTCAACTTTAGCACGTGGTTTAATATAAGCACGTGGTTTTATTAAATTTTAGCACGTGGCTTGTTTATAACTCGTGTTATTAATTTTAACACGTAAATTTGTCATGCTGTTGTAAAGCGCGTAAAATAGTGATGCAACAATTTGGACTAATATAGGCTCTGTAAGTCGAAAAAGTAAAATAAAAAACTTTCAACTTAAAATATTAAAATCGTTGAGGAATTTATATTATGTCTCGGAATATCAAATAGTCATCGAAACTGCAATCATTTCGGAAAATGGGTTTAATTTTTAACGCTTTAACGTTTAAGCAATTGCTTGAATATTTTCAAATTAATCTGTACATGTAATTGATTTTTTCATGTTACTGTTCATAAAGTATGTTTAAGCTTTCATCTCAATTTAAAAAATTATTTGTTAACTTTCATTTAGTTAATTGGTAAATAAGTAATTATTTTATTTTTTTAGTTTTTTGTCGAGACTATTTATTTTTACTTGTTGGCCAGAGGCATGCCTAATCCGTTTTTTTTTCTTAAAAAACTACAAATAATAATACTTTAAAATTGAGAGGGACAGCAATAAATTTAAGAGCAATTAAACAGTCTGGTCACGTTTGTCAATTTTGTTCTTTTATGTTTCTATCATACCCTTCATAACAGAAAAGGTTTTCTTCTAATTACTACACAATTTTATTTTTTTCATTTATTTTTACCTTATCATTCATTGAAACATTCAATTTACCTGCATATTAAAACAATCCTGGTTGACGCAGACTGTCCGACAAACTGCTGGACCTGCGATGGCAAAACCCCGATTGGCCACCCTCAACTGTGTCTCCTGCAACGACAGAAAACAAAATTTGTCTGAACGCATCGGAAAACAATAGGCTATTGTTTTGTATGACCAATTTCTGGACAGATAGTATGGATGCAGAGGCATTTAAACACCAGAATCAGATCTGCTTCATTTTCGGCATCAGTTCCACTGCTACGTTCATTGGGCAGTAGCGATATTGATAGCAGCACTACTTCTAAAGCTGAAATAAACTCTTACCACTACTTTTGAAAGGAAAATTAACTCGTGTGGTGGAATAAAACAGTTCTTCCAATCGAAAAAACCTTTATATTGCTTTAATTTTGTTTTTTTTCTATTACTTTGGAACTCAAGTGGTTTGTTTTTCATTGTATTGCGTAAAAAATGTGGTTTTATTTAATTTTTGCGCAAATTTAATTTTTAATTTTGTTAACGTTCACCAAAAAACTTAAGTGAGAAAAAACGAACTACAAACATATTAACGCCAAACATTCAGTAGAATTTATAGAATATTGTAAAAATTATGGTCTATATATATTATATATATATCAGTGTTGTGCTAACTACTTAAAAAATGTAGTTAACTACTATAGTTAACTACTTTGAAAAAATCTAGTTAGTAACTACTTTTCAACTACTTTGCACAACAGTAGTTAGTAACTACTCTTTAACTACCACCTAGTAGTTAACTAGTAGTTAACTACTTTCCAAACATTGCCATTTAAAAAGAAACTGGTGTTTACAACCTTTCGATACCAAATTACTAATTTTTGCAGTAGTTAACTGATAAATTTAAAGACAAACTAACTTTTATTTGAAAGGTTTTATTCATAAAAATTATATGTCAAATTAATGACTTTCTGAGATAATCTCTCGAAAAAATCATTTTGTCTATGTGTTCATCAGACAACTTGCAGCGTTTATTAGTAAAAATTTGTCCGGCAACACTGAATAGCCTTTCAACAGCAGCTGAGCTTGGTAATGTCGAATTTATTTTTAAAAATGCTGCACACACTGCTGGATAGCAAAATAAATGTTCAACATTTTTTGCCCGACTAGATAAATAATTGTTGAGTTGTTCAGCTAATTTGCAAGAACTTTGTTATTATCGTATGCAACGCTCGCACACACATGGACATTCAACCAGCATTTGTTTATCAACAACCAATAGATATATGATACAACCCATGGGATTAATATGATGAATTAATGATGCATTAGGTCATGGACATCCATGATTAAGTTGTCTTAACCTTGTATGCTCCACAGACAACTACATAATGCAATAGGTGTATATAATATGTATGTATATTATGTAAAATGTCTATTATATGTGTCCATATACAATATGTTATATATAAAAATATATATGATATATTGTATATATGTTTTATATATGTTTTGCTCATTGTTGTATACAACCATTTGTTATCCAGCATGTGATATGATTAGTCATGCATAGCAAATGCATATTAGATGACCATGTCTGTTTTCAACAGTAACACAACAATGCATGCACACAAATAGGGGCGATCAAATATTAGCTTATTATTATAAGTAGTTATGTAAAATAGTTAACTACTGTAGTTATTAACTACTAAAAAAATAGTTAACTACTAGTTAATAACTACTTTGAAAAAAATAGTTATTAACTACAGCTTAACTACTAGCAAGTAGTTATTAACT